TTTTTTTTTAATCCATATTATTCAAAGAGAAAATGAGAGAGATGATGATTTTGAAGCCACCCTATCCCAACCATATTATTCACATATCGAGTCCCAACAGCAACAGTGTAGGGATGAGCACGACAGCGCCGGTGAGCATGAAGAATGGACAATCTTCGAGGATTTTAAATTGGGAACACAACAAAACACTAACACTTAGGGATTTGAGAATAGTCATACACCTGCTAATATCAATGATTCGTTTTTAGATCGAATCAATGAATTATTAAACGAATTCAATCAATAGCACCAACGTGACTAAGAAGAATAATAACGTCGTCTATCATTTTATTTTTAGATCATATGTTACTAATTTTATGCTTTATTGTAGTCCATGTATATTGATATACTTATTCCATGATAATTCTATGTTTATTCTGTTGTGTGATGTAAATTAAATGCTGAATGACAGTTCATACAGAGAGAGAACATATCAATATTCGCATATTCATTCAAAAACATGAAATTCTTAATGGAATACCCTCATTTCTCATTGAATTCCTAAAAAACAATATTTATAATGAATTTTAATAATTTTTTCAAATTTTTTTTAAGCTTTATTATGACCGATTCACTCGATTCTCGATCCGGATGGCCGATTCGCCGATCCGGATCGGTTTTTTGAGAACCCGATCCGGATCACCGATCTGTTTTTTAAACCATTGATATAGTATTGTTCCTAATAAAAGAAAGCTTATATTTAAACCTAATTTGTAAGGATTCAATAGATCAAGGAGGATTTTAAAAATGAATCTTTATAGTCTTTTATTTATTTTTTCCAATAATAAAATTTTGAGATGACAAACACTATAGAGACTTCTCATCCACTAAAAGACTTCAAACTCGACCTATCTAACCCACCCATAACTTGCGTCCCTCATGTTACATGCAACTGACCCATAACTTGCTCCCCAAGTCATTAGATGCATTTCCACAATCACCCCGAATGTGAACGAGAGCTTCAGGCAGGTTACAAATTTGATAAAAAATTCTGAAAGTCTGAGCATGAAGGATGAAACAATTTCAACCACCCAATTTCCCATCCAATTGTCAAGTGCGTGATCCCCATTTATGATACTACAAGAAACATAGCTTCGTACCATTATTGTTAATCATAAAAAAAAATCCAATGCACTCAGAGCAATACGTAAGAATCAACCTAAACGCAAGACTTAACAAAGTAGTCCACAACTTTGCCAAACACTCGCATCCTACAGGATTTGGTTGCCAAAATGTTTCTCAAGGCAAAATGAAAATAAGATTTATTTACATCACAAAGCATGATCCATTACAAGCGAGAGACAGAAGCACGCAAAGGGTAATTTATTTACACGCTTTCGACTCAAAACACCAAATATAAACAGGCTATTACAGAGAACTGAAAGAGAAGTTGCCTGGGTTTGGGGTTAAGACACCATACATCAATAATCCCGTAACTGGGACTCTCGACTTGTGAGGGGAACGTAACGCACAGAGGTCTCATCTCTCACACTAATGGAGCCATCTGCTTTCTTGTCTACCACCTTCAAATCTTGGAAGATATTGCCAACCGGGATTACCATCCTGCCCCCGGGCTTCAGCTGTTCAATTAATGGCGCCGGGATATCTGAAGCTGCAGCCCCGACATGAATGGCGTCATAAGGAGCCTCTTGTGGCCAGCCTTGGCGGCCATCTGCAACAATTTGCGTACTCATTGAGACACAAAGGTTTTTCTTCTATTGACAGGTACCAAATTTGGCATCATTTAGAGAGAAGGGGCGGGGGGACGAAACTTTGGTCAAATATCAGATAAGAACAACTAGGCACAGAATTGCGGTTCTCCAATGGGCTCAAACATTAACAAAACGAGGAACACATACCACCAACATGAATCTGGAGGCTCCCTTCCTGCAACAATGGTGCAGCCGGACTTTTCTTTATGTTCTCTATGGACATTGCGACCAGCTCAGGAATATGTTCTACCCCAACTGCTCGACCCTGTGGCCCGACCATCAGTGCGAAGCATGCAGTTAAGTATCCAGTTCCTGATAACACGTCCACATTTGGGGATCAATGATAACACAGAAAGCCTTGCATAAATTGATCATCATGTGAGAATAACATACCAAAACTCAAGCATTTATAATGATGTGATCTGGGTCTCTTCAAATTAACAGACAATAACAAATTAAAGCGTGCAATCCTTTGATGTGAATGAACATAATAATATACTGATCCTGTCCACAACCATATCATGGGTCCTTAGTGGTTTACTAAGCTAATTTTCCAAAACCAGGGAACTTTTCTCGTTCTCATACATTGAAGTAGACCTAAAGCCAATTAATATGATATGGAATGCTTCACAACACAGTGGTGATAACGATATCCAGAGTCTAATCAAATAAACAGACAAGAAATTAACATATTTAAGTAGAGCCTTTGAAAGTAAGTAAATGGTCCCTCAATATAACAATGAATAGAGATCACATGTTTACATTCTTCTAAATATGCCAACCACCATCACATTTGGAAGTGGAGGTTCAGTCGACCTTGTCATGGAATCTCATAAAAATGAGAGTAAACCTATGCAAATGATACCAATTGTGGTCCTTTGGATTAGGTTGAGGAACCCATAATGAGTATTCAACAAGTCGAATAATGTGTAAAACTTTAAAAGTACATTTCAAAAATAGAAATTCTCTCAAAAAAATTTTCAAATATAGAAATTGACATTTTGTTATTGAGTAGGAGATTGATATGCAATTAAAACCATAGAAGAAGCATCCTCTGAGTTGAGAAACCGATTGAATAAGCTCCAACAACAGAAGAATTCTAAACTTCGGAAATCCAAAACATGGTTGTGGCCTTGAAAGAGCTACAGATGGGAGGAGCATACTGCTGAACATGGCTCAACCAGTTCCACACACAAGAAAGGTTCCTTTAAAGCACAAGCGGGCTTATGTGGTAGATAAAAAAAATAGCTTAAAAAGAATTCTGCAAAACATGATGAAAATGATACCTAGGCGTAAATAAAGCACTGCATTGTAGAATAGCAATAAACTCTTTATGGGTTTTTTATTTTTACTTGTTTTTAATAATATGCTCTTAAACTGGAGAAATTCAGAAATGACTTTGAAAAGAGGGGAACTCTTAAGTCGCAAATAATCTTCTGGAGGAAAGTGAGCCTCACGGAGAGAAGTTATACATAACCGAAAGAATGGAAGCAAAGCACAAAGAAACTCTTGGTCGAAAACTTTGTAGCATCCGTGCCCACCTACCCAAGGCAACTACAATTCTCCAACAACAGTGACAGAGATCTTCAACTGATAAACCCAAGGCAACTACAACTCTCCAACAACAGTGACAGAGATCTTCAACTGATACACCCAAGGCAACTACAATTCTCCAACAACAGTGACAGAGATCTTCAACTGATAAAAATTCTAACGAAGGGAGGGAGACGGTTTCAAATCATACAGACAAAGGGAGTACACACTACCACTCTCTCCTCCATTCACAAAGTAGGTTCTCCAAAACTTGGATTTTGACAAATCAAGTACATCGTAAAAACAAAGAGATAAGAGGCCTTTATAGGCTGAGAGGAGGCGTTCCATGCTCTTATAGGAAAAGCCTCTCCAAAGGGTTAAGAAAGCTACCGCATACAAGAAGTATTCCAGGTGCTTCAGAAAGCTTCAGCCAATATACAATGAATAGATGCATGCAACCATTTGAAGTTTCTTCAATCAAGACGATATCTGGTCCTTTAAAACATGGTTGGGCATGTCATTCTCTCTCTTTAAAGCATCTCGCGAGTACAGTGTCCAAAATAACACCTTGATCTTAAATCCCTTACAGGGTGGAGTAGTCCACCAATGGGCGGCCCAACTTAAGACTTCCCATTTTCGGGTTATGAAGGTATCCTCTGGCTGCTGGTAAACTTGCTATACAATCTACAGAAACGTATGTTTTGGTTCTTACCCAAAGTCAAATGTTAAATAATCATTTTAAGAGGATCAACACACACACATATGGTTTTAACAAAAAATCAAATGCGGTACAAAACTTCATGTTAATTATGGCATTCCAACCAATATCTAATACCGACAAACAAGGTAAGATCTACAATATGTGATTACTCCATTAACCTATGGCAATAAAAACTTCCGCTCCAAATTTGTCAATGAATTATGAAAAAGAAAAAGTAAGAGAAATTTGTGGAGATTCTGGAAACATCAAGAAGGGGTCTGGGCGTGAGATATAGTTTACAACAAATGTAAGGACAAAGGCTGCCTAAATTCATCAGAATGAAGTTTTATGGGTGCAAAAGTTCTCAAGAACAGCCCATCATATTTTCAGATTGAGGATACGCGGTACTTCGATAATTTCATTTAAAGAGAGAAAGGTCAAAATACTCTTCAGAAGAAATCATATCACTACCATTATGCCTGATCAACATTTAGCAGAACCTCCATTAGAAAGGAGCACTGGTCCAAGGAATAAGCTTAAGATATAAGCAGCTAATAGAATCCAAAGGAGCATAGGACCAAGGTATATAAGCACAAGGGAACAAGTTTCAGCCTAAGCCTTGGAGGTAGGGCTTCATGGTAATTCAGGCTATCAGCATACAATCCAAAAACACCTTGATTGCCTTCAAGAAAGGACTTCAGGAGAAAAGTACAAGATCATTTTTTAAAATAGTGATATCAAGGTGGTTTAGGTATCAGAGATTGGCCACCCAACCAAACTCTTTCTGGGCACAGGTTATTCGGAATAAATATAACATTCTGGATCACAATTGGGTACCTGAAAGGCCCTCACAAAGCAGGGCCTCAGGAGTTTGGAAATCTCTCGCCTCCTCTCTTGCTCAGTCAAGAAAGCACTTCGTTTCCATCCAAAACAAGGAAACAAAGTTCGCTTACTGGTCTGATCAGTGGATTCGATATGCTCCCCTCAGGGACATTTTTCCTAACCTGTTTCAACTTGCTTCCAACAAAGAGTCCAGTATTGCAAATGAAATGGTCTTGGCAGGGGGGCGTAGAACTTGGAACCCCACTTCTTGAAGGAATCTTTCTGAAGAGGAAAAATTAGCTTTCACCACTCCATCGGCTGCTCTTCACCTGGTGTTTTTACCTTCATCAGGGAATGATTCTTTGGTATGGACACTATCCCCATCTGGTAAGTTTTCAGTAGCCTCTTTCTATAAGAAACTTATCCAGCCTCCTACTTCCCTTAAATCCCATCTCTCCTCTTTCCAAAGTGTGGACCACAATAGCTCCTCCAAAAGTTCAGTCTTTCAATTGGATAGTTGGCTGTCAACGGGCTCTCACACTCGATCAGCTCCAAAAAAGAGGCCTGCCACTCCCAAACAGATGTGTAATGTGCATGACAGAGGAGGAGTTTAACCCCCACCTCTTTCTACATGGCAGTGTGGCTTTTGAGCTTTGGACACAGATTCTACACTTATTTAGTCTCAAATGGGTCCTCCCACCTTCGGTAAAAGATTTATTTCTTTATTATTCAGGTGGTCCTTGGCCCAAAGCAGGTAGAACCTTGTGGAGGTCAGCAATCGCTGCTACCATATGAGTTTTATGGCTAGAAAGAAATGAGAGGGTCTTTCAAAGACACAGAAATGAAGTTTCAGGGCTGTTTCATAAGGTTACATCACTCGTAACTTTTGGGCTTCCACCCACAGCATCTTTGGTGGGATTCCTATGAGTTCTTTCCTCAAGCAATGGGACAATATTATCCGACTCCAGCCTTTCAAGTTACAGCGACCTCACAACTAGTTGCTTCCTCCAAAAAAAACCATAACGCTTAACTTTGATGGCTGTTCCTTGGGAAACCAGGGCCCTTCAAGAGTAGGGGGAGTCTTCCGCGACCACATGACGTATTCAGAATATGTCGGACATGGAGATTCACAATTTGCCAAAGCATTGGCACTCCTAATGGGCCTAAAATTTTTTAATCCATCTTGGGGCCAATCCTTAGTGGTGGAAGTAGAAACATTCTATTATGGGCAGCAGGCACCACTACCCCTCCTTGGTACCTTTCTAGGATATTTGATGAAATTTACCACTTATGCAGGGATACCAACATCTATTGGAGGCATACATGGCGGACGTCGAATGAGTTCGCCAACCTTCTCGCTAAAGATGGAGTGCAGCGACAACCACACATGGAAGACAATGGATGGTCCACCTCCTTTTTTGCACTGTGGACCATCGAGGTCTTCTAGGACACTAGATATTTTTTGTTGTTGCTTTATGTAATAGGGCGTCCTTATAAGCCCAATTTTTTGAGACCTCAATCTTTTGGATACAGCCACTTCAAAAGGATATAGGTTGAATAGGGTTAATGGCTTTATTTTTTAACTGAGATACCTGTCTCGTGGGTATTCTCAGTCCTCTCCTCCCTCAATCTGTTGTATTCCTTCATTTTATATAGTAATACAATGTTAGCATTATAAAAAATAAAAAAAATAGTGATATCAACAAAGCCTTGACGTTTTAGGGTCATGCAGTAGCGTAAATAACTATTGGTTAGTTATTAAGAATCATTTTTAACATTTGCTCAATAAAGTAGTGCTATATTGCTACCTAAAAAATATCCAAATACATATTTTGGTAATTTCTAGAACATATTTTACATATCATCATCATATCATGCAAGCCTAATCCCAATTATAAATCTTGTTCCGCCATTCTCTCTATCAAGGGCCATACCCTTAGTCAAAGCATAAGTCACCATATCTCTTCTCACTACTTCCATCCATGTCCCTTTGGGCCTTCCTTTTACCTTTTTAGAGCCTTTAGTCAGAGCATAAGTCACCATATCTCTTCTCACTACGTCCATCCATGTCCTTTTGAGCCTTCCTTTTGCCTTTTTAGAGCCTTCCACTTGAACCAAATCGTGTCTCTTAACCGTTATTGTATTAAGTTTACGTAGCACATGGCCAGCCCACCTAAGTCTACTTTCCCTCATCTTATCGCTTATATGAGCCACCCCTTAGGTCCCTCGTTTGTATTCACTCCAAATTCTATCCTTCTTGTCATGCCACTCATCCATGTCAACATCTTTAACCTCAGTTACATCATCATTTTAGCCTTTTCCCAAGTAATTGGGGTTGGCTACATGAATCTTGATTCTCCATTCTACTCTATTAAAGGTCATATCCTCAGTGAGGCCATAAATCCCCATACCTTTTCGGACTACTTCCAACCACATCCTTTTACGCCTACCCCTTCCCCTTCCTCTTTTCAGTACTTCCACTTGAACTAATTCGCACCTCCTAACAGATGGTGTACTTGATCGGCACCACACATGGCCAGCCCACTTAAATCTACTCTCTCATTTTATCACCTATTGGTGCTACGCCTAAATTCTTTCAAATATATTATTTGCGAATTCCATCCCTTCTTGTCTTGCCACTCATCTATCTCAACATCCTCATCTCCGCTATGCTCATTCTATGAGTATATTGTTTTTGGTCTGCCCAACATTCCGCCCCAAGAGCAAAGCTGGTCTCATTGATGTCCTATAGACTTTGCCCTTCAATCCAGTGTTTCAAAAAACGCTAGGCAGGTCCTAGGCGGTCTGAGGAGTCCACGCCACCCAGTGCCTAGGCGGGCGCCCAAAACCTGGGCGGCCCGGTTGAATCCAAAAAGGATTCTACAGTTATGTCAGTATCAGTTATATGTATTGCAGTATATAATTCAAATTATACTACATATTAGCTTTTATACACTTCATAAGCATAACCATAATCCATAAGTCGATTCATACTCCATATCCAATTAAAATTTAAAACTAAAAATTTTCCAACCAACCAAATTATCAAACCAAACTACCAAATAGTATCAAACTAGTACTGCAGTACACCACCATGAGGAAGAAAACAAAATTGAATTATGTAACTATGAAAGTAATACTTGAAGACTCAAAAGAATCTTCAATAGTTCAATACTTCAATCAAAGTTCAAAATTCAAAGTTTAATAATTATTCAACATTCATCATTCATTCATCATCAAAAAATCTTGGGTCAGCTGCATTGGCGTCATATTCATCGAAATCGTCACCCTCCTCGACATATTGGTCGTCCTCGTCCTCTTCCGTTTCTTCTGAATCAACCTCTTCTTCCTCCTCTTCCTCCACCTTTGCTCTCTATGCAGAAGATCTAGTGGCCCTAGGAGGGTCAGCTGATGTCCCTAAAGCATCCATGATCATGTTTCATGTCAATCCTTCATGCCCCTCGACCTCATCATCATCAACTAACCACTTCATAATATGGTCCATATTTTTTGATCTGATGGGGTCTCTCTTATCTCTCTTAGCAAACCTATCCTTTAATAATCGATTGTACTTGACATAGGCTAGGTCATTGAACCTCTTTGATGCACTCCTGTTCATTTTCTTAGTATGAATCTAACAAAATCAAATAAAACTAATTAAAATCTAATATCTATGATTTATGTATTATTTATAAAATTATACAAATTACCCTAAGTTACGGCCTTACCCCTTCAAAAGTACTCCAATTGCACTCACAACCGGATGAAGAAGTGGCTAGGTTTAAGATTTGCATTGCCAACTTTTGTAAATTTGGAGAACTACACCCATGTTGGCTCCACCAATGGGCTGCAAAGATATAGAAAAAATCATAAATAAATAATAGAATTATTGGATTACTTGAACTTGATGAAGTTAAGAATATTATTAATACCTGGATTAATTTTGGTCCTTTGCCTCATCGTCATTGGACTCCCAAAAGACTTTAATGAGCAATTGTAATTTATTAGCTCATCGGCGCATATAATATCCTGTATATCAGGATCAGAGACTAGTACATCTACACACTCATTAAATCCATTCATAACTGTGTCATTTGTTTGTATATCCTTGCCAATATATAAAAAAATTGGGTTCAAATAATAACCAGCTGCATGCAATGGCCAATGTAGCTGCCTATCCCACTTGTCATCAATAATCTCCCAAACAGGCTTGTAACGGGTTTCGTCATCATTTAAATTTTGGGCTATCTCTCTTTTGCATTTCTCCATAATATCATATATGTAGCCCATAAAAGGCTTGCCACTATCAACCATGCGAAGGACTATGACAAGAGGAGAAAATACCTTAAGAGCGCCCTTTACCCTTCGCCAAAAAGCCTTAGAAAGGATAATATCTCTCACCTTCTTCCCAACCTGATCCTTAGACCACTTGCATGCTCTCCAGTCATCCGACGTAAACATTTGCTTGAACTGCACTCTCCTCGAATATATGCTATCTAGGCATAAGTACCAGGTCGCAAATCTCGTAACCCCAAGCGTCACAATCCCTTTCTTCTTTGTAAAGGTACGCATCATGCTGAGGGTGAGATGGTAGCTATAAATGAAATTTGTAACTAACTTAACCTTCTTCACTGCACCTAATATCTCGGTTAAACTGCCAAGAGCCTTAAGCATGAGATCTATATAATGTGTTGCACATGGTATCCAAAAGATTCTAAGATAAGCTATGTACAACAAATTAGATGCAGCAACATTAGAAGCAGCATTGTCTGTGACAACATGTACAACAAGATGCTCCCCAACCTCCTTGATTCCCTTCTCTATCACTTGAAATATGTAATAGGCATCATGGATATGATCAAAGGCATCAATAGACTTAAAAAAAAAATCCCTACAGGACAATTCACAAACAAATTCATCTGACTTCTTCTCTTCCTATCACTCCAAGCATCAGTCATAATAGAAACCCCATACTGAGCCCATGCATCCTTCTTAAGTTCTATAGCTTCTTTCATGGCACTCACTCTTTTTTAAAAAAAAGCTTTGAAAGCTCATATGGGGTTGGGGGTTTCATCCCAGGGCCAAATTGGCCAATTGCCTCTACCATAGTATAGAAGCTGCTTAAGCGAGCATAAAAGCTGCTTAAGCGAGCAGTATTGAAAGGAATGACCGCCTCATAAAACCATGTAGCAAGATAATACGCAGCTCTATCTCTCTCTTCCTTCTTGATTATATTTTCAATGGTGGTTTGCTTCTTTGTTTTCTCTCTTGCAACCTCAGGGTCAGGCCGAGGTAAAAAACTATCCATAAGACCTTTAACCCGAGGCTTCTTAGTCCCAGAACAATAAGCAATTACAACTCCCTTCCCTTTTCCCTTAATAATGGATAGTTCAACCTCTTGACATCCCTCCCCAATCCTTTCCTCACCACTATCATCATCATAATTGACCTGAACCCCAGACCTAATCTCTGCTATACAGGCAAATCTCTCATCTTTTTTCATTTTTACCATGTTCAAAAAATTGTTTATTTCCTCTTTAACAACATCATGAGCCTATTTACATGGGGCAACATCCCCGTTGATACAGGCGAGATGTTTCTTGAACAGGTTTACGCCCTTTTGTATCCTTATCACAAAACTTGCATCTTATGCAATTTTTAACATTAGGATATGGGTTATAACCATATTTCCAACCGGGATCACCACTCCTATTAGATCGTGAAGAAGACATCTAAAAAATAATGCAATTTAATAAAGCAATAAAAAAAATCACTTACTTCGAGTTTGATTGCACAATCTTCAAGCTTCCACCTCAAAAATGCTTCTAAATACTCAAAATCATCTAAAAAACCCCCTAATAACTTTGCAAAACATCAAAAAGTAAATCTAAGATCAATAGGTGATGTTTTGATCAGTGTTTCAAAAAGCGTCAGGCCGCTCCTAGGCGGTCGGGGGGGTCCAGGCCGCCCAAGGCCTAGGCGGGCGCCCAAGCAGGCGCCCAGAACCTGGGTGGCCTGGTAGAAATTTTTTTTTTTGGGTTTTCTCTCTCTAAAATAGCCTCTAATGGGTTTTAGGTTTCAAATGAACCTAAAACCCACAATTTTACCTCTTTAGTATTAAAAAAATGACCCAAAAATACCTTAAAGGAGCCACAGTTCCGCCCCTGGGTAGGGCGTAGGACCTGGGCGGCCGCCCAAGCGCTGGGCGGTTCGCTTTTTGAAACAATGGTTTTGATCAATTTTTTTTAACTTTGAGAGACCCTTCGACCCTAAAAAATTCACCAAAAATTAATTTCTTGGGGCTATCTCTCTAAAATTGGCTCTAATAAATTTTAGGTTTCAAATGAACCTAACACCCTAATTGTTGGCTCTTTAATACAAAAAAAAATGACCAAAATTGCCCCCACAAAACCTTATTTCCGCCCCTGGGCAGGGCACAGGCCCTGGGCGGCCGCCCAGGGTCGACTGCCCAGATTGGCCCCTAGGCCTGGGCGATGCGCCCAAGCCTTTCTGACTGCCTAGGAGGCCGCTTAGACGCTGGGCGGTCCGCTTTTTGAATCATTGCTTCAACCTCATTGGTATGCGACGATCACATAAAATTCCAATTGCACATCTCCACGTCGCCCACCCAGCTCTAATTCTGTGTGCGAAATATCCCTCGATATTTCCATTTTCTTGGATTATCGACCCAAGATATCGAAAGTGCAGTCTTTTTTGTACTTCCTGGCCGTCAATATTAACTACTTCCTCATCTTCACTCTTATTATTACCAAATTTGCACCCTATATACTCTGTCTTAGTTCGACTAATTTTAAAACCTTTGGACTTTAGAGCATCCCTCCAACATTCTAACTTTGTGTTGACATCGTTTCGGATCTCATTAATCAAAACTGTCATCTGCGAATAACATGCACCACGATACCTCATCCTGTAGGTGCCTAGTTAAGTCGTCCATGACTAAGACAAAGAGGTACAGGCTCAATGCTGACCCTTGATGTAGACCTATTGTCACTGAAAACTCACTCGTCTCTCCACTAGTTGTTCGTACACTAGTTACTGTTCCATCGTACATACCTCTCACCAAGTCAATGTAATCTCTAGAGATGCCTTTCTTTTCCAATACGCACTAAATCAAATCTCAAAATACTCTATCATAAGCTTTCTCTAGATCAATAAAGACCATGTGGAGGTCTATTCCCTTCGCCCTAAACTTCTCAATCTTATCTCAGCTACATATGATAGTTTTATTTTCAACAGTCTAAGGTTTGTTTCTTCAATTGGGTTCAGTAACCAAATCATAATTTTCATTTACTCTTGTTTCACGAGGATAACCTCAACAAACTTCAGCAGGTAACAAAAGTATATGTATATATAGAACCAATGTTCGCAAAATCAAACCGAAACGGTTAATCGGACATGGGGCTTGGTGCGGTTCAAACCGGAACCGGTCTAACCGGGGCAGTTAACAGGACTAACCGGTCAAGTAAATTTTTTTTAAAAAAAAAAGGTTAAAACCCCCCAAAAAATTAATTTTTTTTTTTTAAAAAGTAAAACTTAGATTAAGTGTATACTATCATATTACATAAATTTATCTTTCAAAAAAAATTTGAAACAACTTTTTATATAAATTAATATTTGAATACTATGGAGATAGCAAGACAATTTATAATTTGACGTAAATTCAATTAATGAAGTTATAAAGTCCAATGGCTAATAGTAATGAGAATGGCTATTAGTATGTGATTATAAATCTACTTGATTTGAACCATTTTTTAAGCCAAAATTTTTATAATTAGACATGAAAATAGATTTTAAGCTTATTATAAAATTTGGTGGTGCACCTTATGTGGATGTTTTAAGGTACATAAATGAGGGCTTAAACAATCAAAGTAAAATGCACCTTCAAATAGTATCAAAATTCAAATGGTGTTGTTTCGGTACTGAAAATCTTGATGACACTCTCAAAATCAATTTTTATATCGAATTAAATAATTATAAAATTTAGAGCTTCAAAATTAGCATACATCAGGCATATCTATAAACACTAAAAAGTCTTGAAAATTGACCAGCTAAAAAATGCATTACAAAATGCACTATTTCTAAAATACATTACACTATGCACTATTTCTAAGACTGAAAAGCTACTAATATAGTATTAAAAATATCGAGCAAAAAAAAAATCGAAGCAAAAGGTCAAGCAACATTATCATGCACTTATTTATTTTTTGTTAAAAAAATATAACATTAAAAATAGAAGAATTGATTTTTTTTGTCATATTCATCTATTGTAATTTTATCAAAAAACATAATTTTATTAAGAAAAATAAAAAGAAATCACATATTCATCTTAAAACATATTTTTATTAAGCGAGTAACTTTTTTTTTAGAAAAATCGATATCCCAAAAAACCCTAAAATCGAGTTCCAAATGTCTGTTTTTGTTCTCAAATCCATTCTTTTATTGAATGCAATCAATAATGTCAGTCAAATATTGTCTGAAAAATCCTTAAAAAGGCTGAAAAATTAGGAAACAAATTAAAAACAAAATCGGGTTAGGGCTTACCTTGTTTTCTTCCTACTCAAATGAAGCTTCAATCTCAAAATCGAGCTCAAAATCTCTCGATTTCAATGAAATCAGGAGTCTAGAAACCTAGAGATCTCTGTGATCATTAATAGCCCCCTATTTTTATTGAAAACAAATAAAAAACCAGGCCAAAATCTTTAGATTGGCGGATTTTTCATGGAAATTTGAAGAGCACCAAAATAACGGCCAAGAAATTGCAATTTCGAGCCCGAAATATATGGATTTCGTTGAAATCAGGAATGTATTAGTCTAACCATCTCTTTAATCTACATAAGCCCTCACTTGGATCGAAAAAAAATCAACGCTGCTGCCAAGAACTGTAGATTGCCGAATTTTCATCAAACTAGTGAAGAACAAATAAATAACGCCCAAGAAAACGTGAAATTCGGCGGTTTTTTATCTCAAATCGACTATTTTATAGAGTAACATTAATAATTTCGTTCAAATTATTCTCTTTAAAATCCTTAGAAGGCTGATAAAGTTCGCAAATTCAAATCAATCTTGAACCCAAAGAAAACCTGTGGGTTCTGTAAAAAATAACGAATCAAATAACGGAACTATTATGTAACACTGTTATATATATCGTTATAATGTTAAAAACGCTTTTATGAACAAACCGGTCCAGTTAGGTAAAAAATCGGCCGGTTAAAATGAAAATCGAGCGGTTCGGACCGGTTCTAGCCGGTTTTGGCTTAGAGGATTTTTGGGGAGGTTTGTCCTATAACTAGTACTCTAAAACCGGTGCTAACCGGAACCGGGAGGGTCCCGATTCCGATCTAACCGGCCGGTTCTGGTTTGAACTGGCCGATATTTCAAGCACTGTATAGAACTTACCAAATTAGCAGAAAACAAACCACAACAGCAACAAAAATAAAGAATCAAATTTAATAGGCCAGAGACAACAAAAGATGACCAACAGAAGAAAAGAAAAGGAAAATAGAAGAATTTGCTCCTCATCTTTTCAAAAGCATGCTTTCTTGATGAAATAATACCACCACAGCAGTCCAACTAGAAAAGTACAGATCTCAAGTAGAAATAATAGCATATAAGAATCTATAGATACTAATAAATAACAATGAGAATTTCACACAGCTGAATGATGTAGCAAGTCTATCCGCGAACTCAAATTTACCAATCTTATCCCACTAACATTCTTTTTGTAGCTTACCAAGCCAAAAAGGACATTCATTTTCCTTTTTAAGTTTTGTAAAGCCCACAAGGGATCATTTATGGAAATTATGAATTTTTGTATGAAATTATGAACCTTTTTGTCAATCTTTTCGTTCATATTCTTTTTTTAAGGTTCTATAAAGCCCAAAAAGGATCACATATAAAATTTTTGCATAGCTTTTCAACTCAATGAAATTACTGGTATGAGAAAGTATGGCATACAATACCTGAACCAACATCCAAAGCACGCATTCCTGGCTGCAAATGCTCGTCCAACAGTTCGAGGCATGTGGCGTGCATGTGAGGTGCAGATATAGTTGCATTGTATCCTATTGGCATGGGGCTGTCAGCATATGCAAGGTTTCCATCAGGAACAAATAATCCTCTATCAATTGTCTCCATGACTTCTGCTACCCTCTTTGATTTAATTACACCATAAAGGCACAAATGTTCTACTAGTGATTTGTTCCTGTCCATACCTCCTTTGGTCCAGAGATTCTGCAGAGTACCCAAAAACAAAGAAGGAAGTGACATTTCCATAGAGAAAAGCAAGTGATGCTTGATTGACGAAGGATACTGCTCTATAAGACATCAATACAAACATCAAACACATGAAATGAAGGGAACAACATGTTGTCGAAATAGATAAATAAATATATCAGATTCCTTTCTATGTATTTGAAGAAAGCATAAGAATCCTCTGTACAAATTGGATGCAATCAAATCCTTTTTCCATTGAAATTCTTTATTCTTAAAAAGTAAATATGAGACAGACCCTAAATATAATGCAACGAAATCTGAGTACCTGAGTGCAAGACATCCACGAGTCAAATTGAGCTCGTAAAGCTGGATCTTCCGCAGATCTCATAACAAGTAACACGATAAGAAACCCAAAACAGTTCTTCTTTGATACCAAAACCATTTTCTCCAGGTTATTTATTTACATGTAAACACATGGGGCAACGTATCAATGCTGCAATGCATGCAGTTAATGAGTAAAAACATAATTAAAAAAGAAAAGTCATTCTGTAGGCATCCTAGTAATGAGATGAAGTAACTCAAGCATTGAATTTTAGCTTCCTCTAGGTCAATCTAATACCAATGAATTCAAAAGTGCTGACTAGGAGAAATATCTCTGATTCTAGAATCCAACCCAATGCTGCAGGTTCTAAAACCATGCCAACCATCCCAAAAAAAAAGGACATCAACTTGTATGAGAGGAGCTATGACAAAAAGCATTGAGTTAGCAAAATTACTATTATAATATGACTTGCATAGATGGAATAACCATATTTAAATTGCATGCACATGGGAATCTTCTATGACGGCTATGCGCAAGACTACACTAGAAGGCCTATCAACTGCTCCAGTTTTGGTAGGGAAGCCATATAATTATGATTCTAAAATGCTAATTATACAAGAGAATGTGAAACATGTTCTTAAAAGGCTGTATTTAGAAGTGGAAATGGACAAGAACAATTGGCAGTAATATCTGCTCCACTATTCAAGATAAATATACACACAAATAAATCATCATCATCCGAGCCTTATCCCAACTATTCGGGGATACACATAATAAATTCATGAAAAAAAAAGATATTTCCCAGCATGTGAAAGCATCAGAAAACTTATTTCAGTCTTAAAATTTATATGCACAAATTGCCTACAAAGCAAACACAATCAGGTAAAAATGGGGCTAAATAAAAAGTAACTCCATTGATTAGAACCATCCAATGTTACGAATATAGTATGGTCTCCTCAGGCATTAAATGACCATCATCATTCTGCATTCTAGAACATATGAAGATTTTATAATGCTCCCCATCCATATAGTGAGTAATAACCTGAACTAATGAATAGATAATAGAACAAAAAGCACATCCATAAAGAAATGTATATAATGAGATCATTTACGTTTGATACAACGAGGTCACAGTCATTATTGACTAAGGGATGTAAAATTGAGTGGTTGAGGATGTGTCATTGATCGGCCATAAAATCCAAAATAAATTTTTCGAATGTTGTGACACACTTCAATCTATTGAATTTCACATCTAATAGCTAAAAATGATTGTGACCTGGTACAAAAAATAAATGGTCTTATAATATACAATCCCTATCCATATGTGTAAGAAATAAAGTACAATCCAAATTCCTAAAAGCTTTCCTCAGGTATGCCACTATATATTCAACATAACCGCCAAGCCAGCTACCAAGTAAAGCCACAAACAAAATAAAAGAAAACCCTATTTTATAAAAAGGAAAATCCAAAATCATGTCAACCCCATTTGGCTATGCCCAACTAATTATACGACATAGAATGTCATGAGTATCAGTCTATCCAATAAAAACGATGAATCAATGAAATAAACTAAAATAAAAAATGCCAATCCATATTATTAAAAAAATAATAATCCAGAACCATTCAAATGCTCTTCGGACATAACCAGCCCTCCATAATCCCAAAAAAAAGAGAAATGACCAATAATCAGAAAAGAGACCCCATATAAACTGATTCAAATCCATAAATCAACAGAAAACATAACGCCCTCAAAATCTCAAAAACAAGTTCGAATTGAATTCCAAAAACAAAGAGCGAAGAAACCCTTTTGTTTTCATAGTGCAAACAAACCCAATGTAAAACCCCATAACAAAATTCATGCCGAAACGCCATGTCAAAGGGAAATGACTTCCTGTTGCAAAAGTAACTTACACGAAAGAATCGACGTAAGGGAGCGAACAGTACCTCCATTCCTAGGAAAACAGCGGGAGCAGCGGGCAGAAAGAGCCTAGATAGAGAGAGAGGAGGAGGAGAGAGAAAGAGGCCCTTCTTCTTCTTCAGCAGCGGCAGGTGGTGCCGGCTCCTAGAGAGAGAAAGGAAGCGAGGAGAGAGACAGAGGTTCTTCTTCAGCAAGTGGCGCACAGGAGCATTCCAGAAGAATGACGACATTCTCTCTCTTTATCGTCATGAGATGCCCTTCTCTCTCTTCCATCTCCCCTTCACTTGATTCCCACGCGCACGTGTGCGAGAATACCCTAGGCTTGCAACCATGTGCGGTTTCTTCCAGAGAGGAGTACAGTCATATGATCATAGCAACTGTATGATCTTTCCAGTGTTAGCACCCTCTAATTCAGATAATAGATGGTGATGGAGGGATATGAGACCAATCTCCCAGTCTCTCTATACGTCCTTGATGCGATGGGCTGGGTAACCCGGTCCAGCCAAGCTGTAAAAATCTATGGCCTAAGGCACATAATGTGGCCTGAGGGCTGTGCTTGGGCCACGTCCAGCTTGGGTTAGCTTGATCGGCCTTATTTTTTTAGCTTTTTCATCTAGTATTTTTATATGATTTTATTTGGCCTGACCGTAGCCCTATGTGTCCCAAGGCCTGGCCTGGGCCAGCCCGATCGCATTAGGGGCAGGCTATGGCTGTGGTTGACCCATACCTAGCCTATTGCCAACCCTAGCAATAACTATTGGATAGTTACATGGTTTCCAATTTTTATTCGATTTTATGTATGTAGATTACATGTTTTAGTTGGCGGATCGGGATTCGTGTAGCTGACTCCAATTAATTGGAAAAAAGTTTTGACAATAATGATGATAGGATTGCATGCTTTAGTGGGAACAAAATGTATGATTACTATACGAGTAAGACCTGCATAGAAGCAACATTACATGAACTATGATATAGGTATCAAGCAAAATTAGTTACAATATTAGTTTTAGCCAAATTTTAATTAAATCATGTAACAGACTTTGGATTGGATAAGCCAATACACTAGTTAGTTGTTTAACCAACCTATTATGACTAACACGAATTTGGAAAGCAAGAATCTAAAATTAATAGTATTTGCACTTAAAAAAAAAAAATATCAATAACATGATTAAACCACCCTAAGAAATTAATGAGATGGCTAAATTAACTAATTTACCAATGTGTTGCTACTATAATGTTAGGATTTAAAAACCCTCTTAAATGCGAGAGCATGAGCCATAATATGATAAATAAAGCATAAAACATACGCACCACAAGAACACAAAGATTTACATGGTTCATCCCAAAATACAAAGATTTACGTAGTTCACCTCAAAAGGGATACATCCACAGACACGACAAACTGAAATCCACTATTCCAATGAAAGTTACATTATAGATTTTGGGATATAGAGTTACTTCTATAACTCTTAACAAAATCCAGTCGAATAAACCCTTTAGATCCAGTCCCCCGATCGGCACCAGTGTCGCCATCTCATCTCTATTCCACAGCTAAATCATTGTCCTAAACCATTGCCCAGAAGAGATCATCTTCATTCCACAGCTAATATTGGGTTTATGTGGCCTTTAAATGTCTTATGAGTGCTTGTAAAATGAAATAATATAGTAGAATATGAACTCAGTAGGAGTGTAGTCTCTCATGGATCATATTATGCAAACGATGTTTGCATATACTGGATTGTACTTGATGATCTAGACCAGTCGGTTGGATTACCTGAGCATAGAAAATAAACCGATAAGGGTTTTAATGGGTCATCCCTTGATAAAGTCGAAGCATATGCCCGGATGAGTGAGCCAAAGGACTGTGTGACCCTTGTGTGTGGTGGCCTACAGAGACAGGGGCCAAAGACTCATCCATATGCCATCACATGGCATACATCTTGATAGATCATTCGGGAAAGCAAGCAAGCCACTTTTCTAGGTGAAGCGTATGCATACGCGAGAGATACCCTTATGCATCATAGAGCGGTGGTCGCATCAGGTCTATGTGACCTTGACTCCTCTCTAGGGGAGGACCTGTAATCCACAGATTGAGATTGCGACCCTTTGGCACATCAGTCAGACTTTGGTGACCCGCTCTTGGACTGTGGGTCATAGGAAACACTTGGTCGGTCTGATAAAGCAAGTGTGGCCTGTAGTCCATAATTGAAGATGGAGTGCCTCATGATTAATTCCTAAACCATATGGATCATTTTCCCATCAAATTAATTTACTTGTATTTTTTTATTGATAAAAAATATTTTAGAATTATTATTTGAATTTTTGTGAACGACTGGATATTTTATTTATAATTTTTGGACTTATAAAATTACAGATATCGATTTCACAATAGTTTAAATATTCAAATAATATTCTAAAATCTTTTTATTAATTTAAACATATAAAAATATTATGGAGACCTATTGTGCACATGGGCCCACCATATTTCTAGAAGGTGGGGCCCATGAGTGCCTCCCTTGGGTGGTGCCATGCGCCACCTGTTATTCTCCTTTTTATTTTTTAGTGATACGACATGTGGCCATATGGTTGTAAGATATTGATTTGATATATCTTTGAAAGATGTTGTGGAAAGATTGAGTAGACTTGTGCTATTTTATGATATGCATAATATTTTGATTAAATTAAATTTATTTAATTTATATTGATGGAAAAATGGTTTAGGAGATGAGGATAATAGTTCGTGCACATTCCATTGGCCCATCTATGGAATGGATGGCTCAAATATCTCACCCCTTAAAGTCACTCAAGATCAATGATTCATATTCAATCTCACAAGAAGAGGCAAGCAAAAAAAAACCTTAAGAGCCCTTAATCTTATTCAAAGCCTATAAAAATGGATTGTCTCTACCCAAAAAATCTCTACACCTTAACTCTTGTACCTAATTCCAATCTTTCTTTCTCATATCCCACAAAGGGGCAAGCCCCACTTAGAATTTCTCTCTCTCATAAGAAAATTTTTTCTCTCTCATAAACGTAAAAAAAAAGAAGGGAGCATGTCCCACTCTCTTATCTTTGAGATCTCTCTCTCCCACATTGTAAGAAGGGGCTAAGGGTTTAGACTATGGGGTTCTTCTCTCTCTTATCTCTCAATTATAGATTTGTAGCTAAGGGTTTTATGGTCTCTCTTTCTCTCACATTGTAAGAAGGGGCTAAGGGTTTAGGCTATGGGGTTCTTCTCTCTCTCATCTCTCAATTTTAGATTTGTGGCTAAGGGTTTTATGGTATAGCAAAAAGAGACGAACTAGGTTGCTAAGGGAAGTCACCTAGAGTTTGAGTTTGTGATCAAAGGGATTCATGTTTTATTAGTGTGACTTGGTTTAAACTTACTTTCCCGGATGGTGGTGACTCGGTATAAGGTGTAATAAGCCTGGTTGAGATAATTTCTGACACTCTTCACTTTTATTACTTGCAATCTTATCTTTAGATTATCACGCATAGTGCATAGTTATTTCAATGACATCAAGTTTTAAGATCTTGGTTTTTTTTCTTATGTTGATTTTATTTTAAAGCATGTGTTATTTTTAATAAGAACACTTGTAAATAATCTTTTGCTAAAACAAAAGGAGTGATATATATATATATATGATTCCCCGATAAAAGATCACGTAGGTCTTTCTTTTATTGGCATCAGAACTATTGATACTTGATGTTATTAGTTGTCTTTTCTCTTTATTGAGTCTAGATCAAACTCGAGAATAAAATATAAGAAAGCTAATGACCTTTGTTGTCAGGTAATATACCCCGGTTAAAGAATTATTTGAATATTCAAACACCGAAAAGGGTATTATGGGCTATTTTGGATCAGAGATATGAAGAAGATAATGATGTATTTTTTTTATTGCATACATCAGTGATATTTTGTGTATTTGATATTAAAAACTACCTGCAAAATTTCAGTGGGAGATCCTAAAGGAATTGAGAGTTACGGAATCATCAATGAAGGATGTCAGTTCTGACCCTGCAAAATCTAAAAAGTGCTCATTGAGTTTTGTGATTTTTTGCACCAACCATATGATTTTATTTCTTACTGAAACTTTACTGTGATTTATACAATTGAGTCTACTTTAAAACAAAAAAGGTTTCATCAAGAAAGTCCTTGTGGTTTGAAAGATATGATTAATTTATTGAAGGGTGTGCAAGTGCTGTTTTTTGTAAGGAAAATTATTTCTGTGACTTGAAAATCATGATTTTATTTCTATTATTAATAGAATGTTTTATTCCTCACACTAAGTTTTATACTTCCATTCTGAGTCTAGTTTCTAATAAAATTTATTTGAGAGAAAATATATATGGAAAGAGAGGAATAAAAAATTTTGGATTAAAGAGAGTCCATCCTGAATTTTATACAATTTGGTATGTTCTTCATTGAAACATAAATAACTATATTTATCAAGCTTACTTAACAGAGTGATATAAAGCTTGTGGAAATATATGTGTTACTATTAAGTATCTAATTTCAAACAAAATTAGTTTGAAAGGGAAACTCTATGAGGGTAGAGAGAAAATACAATTTTACTAGATAGTGTTCATCCTGTAATTCAGTAGTATGATTTATTTTGTGATGTGAATGTCACTTATTTATTTCTCTGAAGAAAAATATTATTTGGGATTCATAATATGATGTCATGATTTGGTTTTGAGTCTAGTTTTTAACACAAAAGATTCCAGGAAGAAATTATTTGAGGATTGAGAGAAACAAATTTTTTTATTAAGAGGTGCTCAACCTGATTTTATGTTGAGAAAATTGTATTGTGATGTAAATGTCACTAAAACGAAGACTCAATAACTGATAGGATTTAAGGATGGAATTGAGTAATATTTTATATTTTTTAGTCTATTTTAAAAAAAAAGAAAAAAAAAATTCGAAGATAAACTATTTATAAGTTGAGAGATATCATATTTTTATGTGATGCTCATGTTCTATTCTGTAGTAAATTAAAAGATGTGGCATGTTAAGGCACATATTTGGAAATCTAATTATGGAGACCTTTTAGGGCTCATTTAAAAATGTTTTATAGTGTGCCATGATTATGGTTTATTATAGTAAAACTTCATAGAGAGATAATACAGAGTTGACAAGGTAAGACACTCTATGTGAAGAATGTTTGATTTGGGACTAGCAGAAAGAAAAAGAAACACAATACCTATAAAAACGTATTGGTTTTTTCGAAATGAAGGGATATATAGAGAGA